GAGTTATTGTTAAAGGCACTGATGAGACAATACGAAATGTGTGCATTTGCCAGTCTTCGTCTTCTTACTGCGGTCATCATAATTGCCAATATAACAGCTTTAACTATCTTCTCTACCGATGGTACTATATTAGTGCATTGTATTGATGCCTCGCTGCAATGCAATCTTGCCCAAGAATAACGGGAAAAGCGAATGTGACCTAACGAGAGTTGAAGGCATCGATTTCGTGTGATAGTCCAACCGTTAGAAATAACTGAATAACATGTTGAGATGACGTGGTATTTGTGGAGTTCGCTATCCTACGTCATAGTCAACAAGACCCAACAGATGGCTTAGCTTGAAATACGCTGGAAGGAGGTAGTCTAGTTGGAAGATGGCAGCATACAGATCACTGGTATTCGCCGCGTGACATAGCCTTTAAGGGGACGAGCCTAGCACAAGTAGATGCGTAGATTCCAACCTGGAGGTAGAGACAGACAAGTAGCATTAAGCTTAGTGGCCAACGATTGCATTCTCTGACACAAAATTAATGGCTGCCGGCATCGAACTACAAGTCACTCTGGATCTTACGAGTAATACCAGTCTCTTCTAGGTAGGCGATGCCCTGCACGAGACGATGCAACTAATTCCATGATGTGATAAAGATAATTGGCGGCCCAATGAGGAAAGCTGTACCTCTGAGGAATGTTCCTCCGGTCCGGCGTTCCAAGCGCTTCCGTGTCCGAATAGCACGGCTTGCCCTTGGGTGTAAAAACTGCGCGAGCCATTTTGAACAGTTGATGGATACCATGCCGCGAGTTTCTGGAACCGCTGCTTATCTGGATGACATCATAGAGATGGGTCGAGCACCAGAAGAGCTATTTAACCGGTTAGATGAAGTGCTTAGTTTTATACAGTCCCACGGTTTCCGGATACGTGAAGACATTTCTTTTACGTCGACCATCCAATACCTCGGTTTTATTCTTGAAAAGGATGGACATTGATCAGATTTCGCAAAGGTAAAAGCCGTAAGAGAAGTGCCTCCGCCAATAGACCTACGATCCTTAGGTTACTTTTGTGGTCTCACTAGTCGCTGCAGCGCATTCTTGCCTGAAATGCACTGCCTGCCTGCCCCGCTAAACAAGCTACTAACCAAAGACCAAACTTGGAACTGGACGTCGGAATGCCAGAATTCCTACGAACGGGTCAAGTCATGGCTAGCCTCAAACCTGTTTTTGACCCTTTTTGATCTCTCCAGATAGATTGTCCTCGTCACAGATGCATCGGTGCAGTTATCTCACACAAGTACTCAGATGGGTCTCAGAAAGCAGTCGCTCATGCCGTTAGGACATGTACGAAAGTTGAGAGGAACTACGGGTAGATGGAGAAAGACCGATTGGTCTTAGTGAGAAGAAATTTCACAAGATGCTCTTAGGTCGCCGCTTCAAGTTTTTGACAGACCACAAGCCCTTGCTATCTTTAATTCAAAAAAGGCATCCTGACCTACACAGCCAACCAGCTACAACGATGGGCTCTCACCTTAATGAGGTATGATTTTGAGATCCACTATCAGTCAACAATTTCTAGTGGCCAAACGGATGCACTGTAACGCCTAATTGATGCCTATCAGTAAGAACATGAGCACACAGTCACTGCCTCGGACAAGATCGAACCAGGAGTCAACTTCCTGGTGAGGGACGTATTGCATGACCAACCAGTTACCGCAGAAGCTGTACAAACCGAAGCGCTTCGGGACCCAGTACTCAAGGTCACATAATTCCACAGAACAAACTGGCCACGTTCAGGTTCAACCATCGAGCTGCAGTGGTATTATCAGAGGAGACCTTATCTTTCTGTTGTGGATTACTGCATACTATTTTCGAAAATTGTCATTCCCAAGGCGCGTAATTCAGCAGTGTCATGTCGGACATCCTGGGATCAACCGGATGAAGGCGCTTGTCCGCAGTTATGTATACTGACCCCTCACGGACAAACAACTGGTTAAACGGGGTCAAAAGTGAACCAACGTATTAAGGCGCAACAAAAAGTAAAACTCCATCCATTGCCAAAAATCACGAAACTGTGGTGCCATGTCCGTGTCGACTTCGCAGGATCGATCAACGGCCGAAGTTTACTCATCGTAGTCGACTCCTAAGCAAATAGCCTCACGGATAACACAACAACCATGGTTACTGTATTAAGAGTGCGCCAAATCTTTAGCAGATTTGGCTGTCCAGAGACGAATGTAACCAACAAAGCACGCAATTCATCTCGGCAAGTTTCCCGGAGTTTTGCAAGCAATGGCTGTCCACACCTTCGTACATCGCCGTTTCATCCACAGTCGAATAGTCATGCAGAGGTTCGTGGATACGGTCAAGCGAGCTCTTCTCAAATCAAATGGAGAAGGGTGCATAGAGATGCTTAACCGGTTTCTTTTCCTATACCAATCAAAACCGAATCCACAAGCAGCGGATGGAGTTTCGCCAGCATAGGCTATGATGAACAGAAAGCTACGTTTGCTCTTTGATGTTATTCGACAGCGCTCAGAGCCCTCTGTTGGTGAAAGGAATTGTAGAATAAAACAGGGTTTTAACCGGCGACATGGAGCAAAGCAACCATCGTTCACGCTGGGATAGACAGTGTTAGTACGTGACTATCGGGAAGGTCACGTGAAGTGGACGTTCAGCACGACTGAAAACAAGCGCGGAAGTGTCATTTATAACGTGAACTTGGGGACGTAAATCTGGGCCCGCCATGCAAAACAGCTACAGTCGACGCTGTGCCAACCAGAAGAATCAACATCTGCCGATCGCCCGCTGGACTTGTTGGTGGAAAACTTCAACTTGCCAAAAGAGCACGTGGACGACTGTTGTCAGTCGAGCAAAGAACCCAGACCACAGAACCCGTTTCTTGAGCACTTCAGCTCAAGTAATAGACCGACAGACACAGAAAAACGTCCAGTAGACTGCAAGTTAATCCCGGGCTTTCATTATACACTGCAGATGCCGTCACAGGAGGGGAGGTGTTGTAACGACCACTTCGTTCGTTCGTGTTGCCTCTGTTGCAACCTCTAGGTTCCGCCTCTGTTCCCTGCTGCTGCTAAGACGTTCGTCTGTCTTCCCACATTACAAGGCTCAAGAGTACTGACATGCACACGTCTTTTTCCCTGATCGCTTCAAGTGTGCGCTTTGCCTCAATCACTGAGTGCGCAAGCGTCCAGTCCAACCCGGGAAAAGAGAATTCGAATCCGACCGACAATTGTCTATTGCGTACAAGGAGGGTTGATATTCATGGGACGCACTCACAAATCCTTGCTGCGCCGCCTGGCTAATTGGCACTTGACTGTCTGCCCACTTCGCTAAGCGGGGGCAATGACGTGCGATTTCGTTAGCTTCTCGTCGGGCGCGTAGCAACGCAGGTGACTGCTGATGCCAGATTGCATCAGCTTCCGGTTTGATCATAGCAACGGATCTGTCAACCGCTCACATGGACTGGCTAGTCTCGCCCTGCTAAAGTGCACCAGCACAGTCGGCCGTTTCGCCTACATGACAGGAGACGTCAGATAAAAGGCTTGAATTTCCTGGAAAAAGCTATGATTCCAGCGATTAATCGATTATCACATCGATTTCGAAGGTTCTGGAATGTTTTAAGACTTGCAAGTGACTGTCAACCAGCTGAAGACTCGACGGATCAGCATGGCACTGCCAATTTTGGCAGCCGACCTTTCTACTCCAAAAGTTGAGGATCACTGGGCGACCCAGAGATACGATCAAAGTCTGCTTCAGTCGTACAGTGCTTTTTGGCAGCGGTTAACGAGTTATTTTGTCAAGGTCACTTGACTTCTGATTTGTTCTTTGGTTCGATTATAGGTCTTGTGGGGCAGTAAAGTGTATATTTCGGAATCCAGATAAGTGGGAAAATTGTAAAAGAAGCCTATATTATGATCCCATAAACACGATATTTATGACCCATAGAAACCCCGTTCCGAGGATAATACGTAGTAGATTCATGAAGCCGATTCCAGCTGCTGAATTACGAGTGCCTATTTCAGTAGCCAAACACTGGTAGTTGCTAGCACAACAACGGACACTGGAGAATTGCGCAATGCTATCCAATTCCAGGTTGTCAAGACTCAAGTGCTTATCAACATTTTGCACTTTAAAAACGCGAAGCGTGTGTCAATGGATGGAAACATACTGGAGATTATGTCAACGGCTGACAACGCAATATCACAAATCTCAAACAACAAGGTGGTGTCCACACTAAATAGAAAAAACCGTAGCTTGGGTTGGCTGTTTGGGAGTTGATTTATTCCCGGTCGATGGACTTGCCAAAAGCGCTATATTTGCTAACAAGCTATTTCTACTGCCACATAGCGGTGTAAAGTATGTAACGTCATTGCACGATCCAGAAATCGAATCACCTCGGCGGAATGATGCAGCCCGCAGAATCAGTTATGCTACGCACAGGATGTCAACACATACAAAAGAACAGATTTAAAAACGAAATAAAACAAACCAGACTAACGCTTTTGTTGTTATGAAGGAGCCTGGTAATTCACCACAGACCATGAGGTGATCAGCGATGTCCAAGCACAGGGTACGCAAAATGTTAATCTAGTTCAAGAGAACGCCTTTCCTGACAGATATGCTGAACAGAACGGAGCGATAGACTGGGTAAAGCGCATTCTTCCTATCACGGAATACGGAGATAGCAAACCTGTAGCATGTGACGCGCCTTAGCGAGTGCCGTAGAGTGAACCAGTGGTCTATTCAACGCCTTCACATATGCGTGGTTACCATTCCAAACCAATGTGGCTAACTGGAGAAAACAGTATTGTTTATCAGTCCCGAGGGACGACACTGTGGCCCATTGAAGTTGTCCATACGGAACAACCAGGTGAACATTGCGTACTTAACTAACATAACAACAAAAGGTGATGGAAATAACAAAAACGTCACCGGGTGGAGGGGGGGGAAACCTGATCGGAACAAGCAAAGTGAAGCACGGTAGTAACTTACAATATTCCTGTCCATCTAACGTGAAAAATGCACAAATCAGATGTGATCAAATAAAACATGTGTTATTATGAATCATCAGGGATAGCAACAAAGATACACACTAAATCCAATAAACAGGCTGTGGCGGATGCCACAAAGGGAAGACAAAACACAAATGATAACAGCAACACAGCAAGGACCGGCCCCGCAGCATCAGTAGGATAGTGATGCATAATACTGAATACGTTAATCTCTCGTTAACGGTCCAGGGACAAAGAAACAGTGGATTCATCATACCGAACACCAATCGCAAGGAACGAACACAATTTAGAAGTTTCGGATGGAATAGTTAAGATAAGGAGGTAATTGAACAAATGTAACGCGTGTATGAGTTCGCGCCCACGCCATATCCGATGCAGTGCCCAAAAAATTACGACCGACTCCCGAAAGCGCTATGCAGGAAGACGATAAAAACTAACCAGACCCTGACGTTCGGTTAGCTTTCTCCTCCTCTCTGTCTGGATGTCCATCCCGGAGTTTCATCCAAATACGCGCAGTACGGATAAGCAATAACCATATCGCGTCAGCAGGGTGGCATGTATGTGTAACATATGACCAAATCAGCGTGTGTTTGATTAGAGTTTCACAGGAACTCCAGTAGGACACCGGAGTATCTGGTGTGGAACATCAGATGAGGAAATTCCGCATTGCTTATATGGTGCTTTCATCAGATTTAAGCAATACTTAGAAGACTCGGTAGTCATACGGGGTTAGGATCGTAACGATCCGAATACGCAGCAGTCATTTCTTTGGTCGCTGCAGCAATACTGGCTGTACCATAGTAGTAAACCACCCCATAACCAGTAGGTATATATCTCGCCATCACACTGGATGGTTGAGTCTGAAAGGTAACCCAAGCCTTGCAATGCGTGCGACCACTAATGAGTTACTACCGTCTTTCACTAACAATGGTGGAGGGCCATTAAAACTAGACTTGTTTCCTCTTAGCGGCAATAGCTTATGCCTGGTCTCGTCCATAATGAGGGCTGTGAAATCAAAACACCGATTGAACTTGAGTGACTCAACAAGGAACACCATTCTAGTCGACGTGACTGAGTGATTCGACTCTTCAACCATCTTTAGCTACTCCGTCATTCGCGGAAACATTCTTTCGCCAGCTGTACCCAAAATGTTGGAACAGTACTCCCAATGGTACTAACCATCTTGATCCCCCCGGTGCATCATCATGCACTGAGTGATTAATCGCAAACTTCCAATCAGACGATGGTCCAGACTGTTTGGAGATTCGTCACAAACAGATCAAGCCAGATAGCCACCGCACATGTGGAGAATCGCTGGACGGCTATTTCATCCTATTAGGGTGAATCAGCAGTATACAGCTCCTCGAAATCCCACTGGATTCGATCCACGGTGTTACGAGCACTTTGAAATGGACACTCCGATGGAACCATCATTTTCTTCAAGTAAACTAAACGAAAGTTTAAAAATTCACCATGCATTCATTCACCTCAGCTTGGGAAAAGAAGTAACTAAGAGCTCTTCTGCATAGAGAATTAAAGGCGATGCAAGTATGCGCACGGTTCACCTACATTGGTTGTAGAAGTGGGCTAATAGTATGACTCACATCAATATGGATGCCTCGAGGATTGGGGAGACAGTTGACGATAGAAGACTTTCGAAGTTGAGTGCTCAACCGAATCAAGAATAGTGAGCATACAAGAAAGTAGCAGAAATTAAGAAGCGTGCTCCAAAATCAAGTGGAAATCTTGCACTGACGTGTGCTATCTGAAGCTGATGGCGGTGTGGTCAATCAGCATATTGTTTGGCCTATGTTATGCAGCTTGTGTTGGAAAACTGCGTTAACGTGGTAGCGGCTGCGAGCGTAACACAGATTGAAGTGGACTCGGTGGTGCTCCTAATCTAGCAAGCGATACACTTGATCACTTGCTCAGTTATTCGAATGAGGAAAAAAGATGGTGATTATCAAAGGTCGTCATACCAGCCGCATACAGCAGGGTGGACACGCAAAAAATGTACTACTGGTGCTCCCTTTCTTTATTTTCCACCTGTTTCTCTTACTCACGTCTCAACCCCACTTCAATAAATCCAAGTTTAACTGACATCAGCCGCAACGCCATTGGAATCATGACATCTGCACCTATCTTCCGCACTACCCAATGAAAGCTTATCGGCGACAGTCTCACAAAAGACGACGCTGTCCGTTTCCCTGGCGGTGTACAAAGTTCATACTCTAAGACAAATAGGTTAACAGGCTGCATTCGCACGCACCTTGGACAGGCTGGGTATTGACATGTGTGGCGTATCCGAAAGTAGGATCAATGACCCAAACCTAGTAGTTGAAATAACTGCGCCCGACTTGTCCTCTCGCTATTGGTTGCACGCATCTGGAGATGCTGATGTGGTAGCCTCTGGTCAAACTGGTTAAGTATGGTATTCAGCACAAAGGTTGAGTTATCGGTGTTTGTCTGAATTCCGGTAAAAACTCGTTTGTGTGCAGCCCGTTTGACGAGACCAAGCAAGGTTGATTCACGAAGCAGTACAAAACGATCATAGTTTGTGATTTCTGCTAATGCTCCAACCGTCTCCAGTTCTGGTGCTGCCATGGACACATTCTATCACGAACTGAACATGCTCCTACGCAGTGCTATCAGTTCAGATACCATAGTACTTGCAGGGGATATGAATGCGCGAACAGGTCGTCTGGAGCCTTCAGAAGCTCCGCTAGGTGGTAGGTGTGCGCTTAACTCAGACCGGACGGACAACGGCGAGCGTATGCTGCAACTGTGTGCGGAGCATCAGCTGTTTCTTAGTAGCAACGCTTTTAGAGAGCGGTCGCGGAAGTGCCACCTGGCATCCTCCTGTAGCTGACCAGCGATGGAACCAAACAGATCACAGCCATAAGTTACGGGTAGAGTGGTCTCATCCAGGATTGCCGCTCAGTCTGAAATACTTCCGTCGACTCAGATAATGTATTCGCACATTGAGTATTTATATGAACTTTACCGGGAGACATACCAAGCGTCTCGCTCGATTGGCACCTGAGAAATTATCAGAGTTCTCGATCAGACAAGCCTACCAGGATGCACTGCGTACCGAACTGTCGCTGTCTTGTCCCAATGACACTGAGCTTCAGTGGAATAGCATCTCAGCCGCCATGCACCAAGCGGGAGCCTCCGCATCACTCACCGGATATCAGATAGGTCAGTGAACCTGTTGGAATCCAGAAGATACCTCCCGGCCAGCTCTGAGCATAATGTAACCAGACGGACTATTGGCGCGAACTAAAGTGGAGCATGCACGTCAGTGGACCAGTGGCGCTCAAGAAATGGAGGAAGGAGCAGTAGGTAATCATTGCAAGCTCTTCCAGTGGATCCGCACCCTTGGTCCCAGGCGTCAGTGAGACAATCAGAGAGCGCGGGTGCACTGATGCGCAGAACATTTTTAAGATCAGTTCAGCTGGCCCCCTGCCTCAGGACCTTTTCCTACTAAGGTGATGCAAAATGAGCCATGGATGATTAGTTTAGAGGATCCATCGGAGGCTGAGGTCCGAGACGCGATCACAGCCCTCAATCGTTTTCATGCTGCTGGCCCGGATTCCCTCCCATCTGCACTGTTTAAGGAAGGAGATGAGGTCCTCTGCAAAGCACTGACCTTCCTGTTCGAACATGTATGGAAGGAAAAGATGTTCACAGCTAACTGAAGTGAATCGATTATAGTGGAAATATACAAGAAGGGCAGTCGCGCCGACTGTGTTAAACACAAGGGTATTAGCCTAACGCCAGTTGTGACAAAATTACTGGCCTCAATTCCCGTTCGTCGCCTCACTGTGGAACGGGAATCCCGGATTAGGAAAGGTAGGTTTCTGTCCAGGACGGGGATATATGGAAAACACATTTACTCTGCGGCAGATGCTAGAGCAGCGCCACGCATACCGCAGACCGATAATAGCTGTGTTCATCGACTTCAAAGTGTGTTCGATTCAGTAGATCGATGCATTTTAGTCGAAATACTTGCACGGAAAGGTGTTCCCATGAAATAGGTGAATATTCTACGTGCTTTAAACTCGAATATTACAGGGCCTACAGTGATCTAACGAATAGCTTTCCGGCAACAAGTGGTGTTCGTCAGGGATGTCCAATTTCACCACCTTTGTTCTACTTCGTCGTGGACACTATCATGCAGGGTTCCCTTGCGGAATCCTACGATGCAGACGTTGAGGTGCTGTCTACTGAAAGACTAGCTAACCTTGATTATGCGGACGATATCATCTTGTTGTTTAACGATGCTGGAGCGGCGCAACCAAACCAGAATAGCTTCTCTAAAGTGGTCCCAATTATCTGATATGCGCTTCGCACCTACAAAGTGCGAAGTGATGCTGCAGGACCACCAGCCGCTTGATGAGCCCTTGTCCGTTTTTAGCGAGGAGCTCGAGGTAGTTAATCAATTCACGCACCTTGGCAGCTGCATCAATAACGATGGGCGCATAGCAACTGAGGTCGGTTCACACATTTCACACACACACACACACACACACACACACACACAAACACACTATACACGTTAGCTAGAGGTGGGAAACACTTCATCTACTGTGCCGCAATACCAAAAGAAAAAAGAGAATAAAATGCAACGCATTTCAAAAACCAGAACTGCCCTGTTGAATCTGTGACACCTTTGGCAACAGAAAGGGGTTGCTCTCCATCTGAATGGACGTGTTTACAAGGCAACAGTGAGGTCCCTCTTACTCTATGGCAGTGAGACTTGTCGCCTTCGAGCTGAAGATCTGAGGCGCCTCCAAGTCTTTATCATTGTTGTCTGCGGAGCGTTGCTGGTGCCGGGTCTCAACAGTGTACCCGCAATGATGATGTGCGTAGGCGAGTGCTAGGCAGTGATAATCATGCTAGATTTTTATAACAATAGATAGAACTGAAGAAATTGCGTTGGATTGGGCACGTACTACGTATGCTTGGTCACCGCTTACCTAGGAGAGCGTCCTTTTGTTTGCATATGTAGGGTGGTACAAGGCACGACATGGATAAAAGTTGACTTGGAAGCGGGAAATGAAGTCACTGATGATCAAACCACGTGCCATCAGTCCGTCAGCACTTCCGGCCTGGAGTCCCCGTGATCAGCCTTGTGCTTGACTCGAAACTTTGCAGGACATGGCTCGCAATCGACAGTTGTGGATCATCTGCTGTCGCCTCCTAGTCGGACTGTCTGTTTAAAGTGTGTTGGGTGCTGTTATCTGCGGGGTAATGGCTGATTATGACGCGGAGCAGTGAAAGCCGCAAGGAAGCCGTCACGCCGATGCCGTCATGCCGATGCCCGATAGCCAGCTGTTTGTGACGGTACGCTTTAAAAAAGTGTAGGCGCCTTGAGCCTGAATGTTTTAATAGGGCGTTGGTGTTTTACGCTTGGTCCCCCCTCTCTCCCTGTTTTAATTCTTCGTTCTGTAGGCCAGCATGTTTGTACGGCAGTGAAAAAGCAGTTCAATTGGCTGATGTACTGCTATTGAGGATGAAGGCTCACGTTCCATGAGAGATGCTTTAATAATCAGAAAGTTGAACTTAACAAATGCCTTACATGGGTAACAGTCCGGTAAGTTGATTGACAAATTGGCAGAATACATGATAAATTTGCGTCTCTGCTCCGTTGACGAGCAGTTCACAGGAAAAAATCAAGACTGTCACTGACACAGTTAAGGAGTTAAAAGGTACCGAAAACCCGAGGACAGAGAGCACGAGTTGCATTCCAATTCAAGTGTATCCATGGAACAAGGTGAAGCAAGGGTTGGTGTGTCCGCTGTCGTTGAAAAGCAATTTGTTTCGAAGTACACTGTATTAGTCTCGATCGGCAGGATGGTATCTAGAGTTGAGAGCCGATTGATGTTGACTGCTTCCAGCAATGTACCTAAAGGGCTGTTTCTTGTTTTGTCAAACAATATGATTGTCTATGATGAATACTGAATACTGGATGAAAGCAGCCATCTGTGTAACTGCATCGCAAATGCTTCAGGTTCAATGACCTGTTATGTGGAGAGCAATCGCGATATTTCATATCGGCGAAAGGGTTGTGCAAGAATTTCTTAAATTCCAACACGGACTTTGCCTCGATTACATGCGGCGGCAGGTTTTTCCATATAGTCATCCCTCTCCGTTCGAAACAGAGTTGGTGGACGACCCGCTTCAAATCCGATACTACAGGCTTGTACCGGTGTCCTCGTGTGCTGCCTCGTATGCGCACATGAAACAACGGCCTCAACATGGAGTAATCACCAAGATGTAATAATATCCGGTGTGTCATGATGAGGTCAACCCGTAATCGACGATAAGACAGTATGTGAAGCCCTACCGTCTTAGTTAACAGGTCCGTTTGATTCCAATAAAAAAGACCTTGGCGAAGGATATGAATACGGCAAATTAAAATGTCCCAGATGCCACATTCCTTTACAGTGAAAAGCAGTACTGGGTTTAGGAGACGCAGAACTCACCCAGCAGTGGCTTTCGTGCCAAGGTGTATGTGTATATATGCATAGTCAACAAATGCGAATGGGACAAATGGTGCGTGCTGATTTGGTGCATTGGTCTTGCTATACGCGAGACCATCTTAAACGCTATCGTATCCTGTGTCCGAGGATTGAATAAGTTAGTGGACGCAGTTGGAGCCGCAATCAGATAACCCACGTAACACAATTGTTAGGAGGATCACAAGTCAAGTAGGGGTGAACGAACTCGAACGGTCAGTGGCTACAGGAGATAACTGCATTAAGAATGCAGCCCGCAAACCTAATTCAACCGAGTTGCTGGAGGCCTTGTTTTCAAGAGCAGTCGGTGTAATCAGAAAAATAAAGATGAGCTAAACGGTGATAGATTCCAAGTGCGTGCTTAAATAAGAGGTTAAAGGGTTATTCTTTCTTCAAATCTGCTCAGACAGTTTCCCGTTTTCAGCCACCCACCTCGATCAATCCTCATGTGGCTACCACAAGCAACATCCACTAGTCCTGAGGTGTGTCTCGTCATACCGCGTTAGAACAAATATATACCTAATCACCATAACTGGTACGTTTGGCTCCATCAATTTTACAATCCTCTGGAACACGCTGATAGGCATTTCACATACATATGAACCCAAACATAAAACTAATGAACATTCCCCTCCCTTCATTTCCCTGAGCTCGGACAAAACAGAATACTCGCTGAGAAAATGGAAAGTGCCGCGAAACGCAAATATCGTAAACATAACCACTACCCTGAATCGAAGATCGTCCGCCCGATATCATTCTTCGAGTGTTGCAATTAAATTGCAAAAAAAATACGGTTTGAGGAGAGAGACGAGATATAAGAGTGCTGATTACAAGTAAGCGAAAATGATCTACGTAACAGTGTCTCTATTTGGACATGTTCTCTAGGAGTAGTGCAGTTAAAAAGCGAAAAATGTTAACAGAATCCCACTCACTTTTCGTCACGTAGCCCTCTTCACATCTATACTTGGGAAAGCATACCTCACAAACATAGCAACGGGTGTGAGCTGTAAAGGAACTGCAACCTGAGATTTATCTACCCATTTTTATCTCCACTCTTCATGTCCATCTTACTCAGCCATGATACCTTACAGCTTAGTTAAAAAGGGAAATGGAAAGAAAACGCTGACTGAATATATCCAACTTCCTTCACGCTTTTTGTCAGCATTTTACTCAGTCACGATTCCCTTACAGCCACCATGCACACATGTGTGAGGCGGAAAAAGTAGCTTACCGATTCTGTTTTATACGTTTTCATCCCTATTTCCCATATCTATTTTCCACTTTCTGTTATAACCGCCGTTGATGGGGCGGCACAGAACCGTCAGAACAGGCTTCATCGTACAAGACAGTCCCACGACACAAGCAAGGCACCCGACAATATAGGGTAAGATAAGAGGGTGTGTCAGACGGCCCTCACACACATGAACCGCAGTAGAGCAGCGGGTGAGAGTGGAATTCATGACCAGGGCTGCGTGAGGACACTGTATTTATAGGTATCGGACCGCCGGGCCCAAAATTTTCTCTCTTCCTCGCAGACGCCTAGCGTACAGTTAAACAAAGACGCTTGAACCGGTCTGATAATGCCAACCACGGCGCCTCACACACAGATAACCAATGCCCTCCTATGATTGGCTCGGTTCTCATATACATCTGCTAAGCTGAAAATAAATACACACCTTCGTGTCTCAGGAACCCTTTTTAGTACGTCACACTACACTTGGAACTTGAGGTTTAAGGTTTCTTATATTTCCGCACAATTGTTCTTCATCCATCACCCCAAGGAAAAGGAAACCTGATCCCGTGCGTACTCGGAGCCCTGTGTCAGGAATCCGCGAAATAAATTGACTTTTGACCACTCTTTATCCGTTTAGAGCTTTGAACTAGAGGACCATCACAGATAAAATTATGATCTTTATTTCTGCCTAACACTTAAACGATCATGTGGATATCGTGCGAAACATCTATAAAAGATCATGCCGAAAATGGCATATCTCATGAACCCGAGAATATACATAATTACTGGCATTACTATCATACCGCATTAATCTGTCACACGTGGTCCACCAATCCTGACCAAGAAACTGGGTTAGATGAAAACAGTAGACAGTTAGAAACCTCATTCACTAATTCACTGTCACATCTTACGTATACTACATCAATAAGGGAACACAATAGCAGTACATTAAGACCGAATCCTTCATAGGAATTCTCTCATATAAATTTCTAATTTCAAGATGACCAATTCTTCCTATAGGAAAATTTGGCACACATGTTGCGTGTCAAAATGAGTTTCTCAGTGTAATTATGTGTCGTAACCTATAGGATCTCAATTTGCCGTCTCACCAATTAGGTTGCAAAAAAACGATCACCAGAATGCTTTTTAGTAATGCAGCCGTATACTTATGTCTTAAAATACTCATTACTGCGTCAGAAATAGCATCTTATTTTTGCAAATGTCCAGGTGAAATGTGGAATAATACGTCATAACCGCTGTTCAACACTATAGGTATAGGGTAGGACAGATCAGAATGGTTAAAGAACATAAGTTTACCTTATCTGGACTACGGTCTTCAAGATGTTCGAGGACTTTAGAAACATCACATCCAATGGAGATTGATTCTTGGTCGGAATAGTCCACAGGCAGGGCTGAAAGAGTTAAAGCTGATAAATTGAGATCAGCGTGAAAACAGAGGACAAGTTCTGCAAGTGACGGATGATCATGATGCTTCTTTGAAAAGAGCCTTATGACTAGCATAAGCATGAAACACGAAAATCAACAAAAGGGAAGTGACAGGGAACCCGCGGTTCTGCACAATCTAGACTATAGTGGTATTGACAGGCAATGAGAAGAGTAGCTTACAGTTCACACACGCAGAGCTACAAGGCAATCTAAGGATCCATGTCAGTACATAGGACAGATGTGATTGCCCACCCAACGTGATGAAAGCATCGGAACAAATTGGTCACATCCCTATTGAGAATCGCTTCGGATGAAGCAACGCTTGAGTGTTTGTTAACAAAGAGAAACAGGATCTTACTATTGCATGGGCTCAAGTACGGCAAATCCAATTCATCCAAAGGAACGGGATCCCAAAAGTTCACACCAGAATCGTCATTCCGTTCCTCGGGGTAACGTACCCGCTTGGTATCCCGAGAATTTGACCGTGTGGTTTTTTTAGCCCCTTTCAGTGGTTCTAGAGACTGAAGACCCGATTGCACAGAGGATAAGATATGAGCGATTAGTTGGATGGTGCCTGGATTAATATTTGTAAGTAACGTGTCCACATGCAACGATCCCTGCATACCGCTGCTGATGGGCTGCTTGGAATAAAAGCTCAGTTGCGTGGGACAAAGTATCTAGAAGAAAGAAAAAAAGTGAGAAAAAGCACCGGATGCTATGATGGGATACAGCTACAAATGAACATGCAGTCGCAAGAACTACACACAATGATAAAATTGGACAAATAAGAATAAAAACAAGGTAGATCAACACAACAGGTGTGAGAGCAAAATGCTACAATCAATAGATATCGTGTTTAACAACAGTGGCAAAGACGCCTGAGATGTGAGACGACGTAGAACTGGGAATATAAAGCAAAAAAGAGGTTTAGTGATGGGGAGCACCTCAAAGAATTAACGATGCCGCCAGGAATAGAGGTACACTTATTCAGAAATCGCATCGTGGTCCCCCGACTACGTGTCAGTACAAAAACCAACATTCTGTGAAACAATTGGAACGTTTCAATGGGAGATAGAAAATAAGCAACACAAGTCGAATCCGAACAGAAATAAACAAATGGTTATCTCCATAGCACAAATTGAGTCCACGAGTTTCAGGTAGACGCTTAGACCGCCAATGAAACTACCATGCCTTCGCTATTCGAAGCCTAACCCGAACCCAAACAGAGTGATCAGTTAGATGGAATCGTATAGGCGGGGACTAAACTGTGTTCCAAAAACAGCGACGTAAAAGGTGCTACCGTGAAATCGACGATAGCAAGGCAGTACCATATTGGGAATTCAGTATCCGGGGAAAAGTGAAGAGTAAAATGTATCATAAAACAAAAAACGCAGGTCGTCAAAAATACATTCATTTTTTTCATACCATTATGGACCGAAGAGAAATAAACATAAAACAGGCGACTAGTGCAAACGGAGGTATTAGCTAAACTTACTCCATTGAGTGGACTCAATTAAAATCGAGGTGTAAATATCATGTTTAAAGGAAGAACGTCATCCGGTTCAGGAAGTATGCACTCACCTCCTTAGAAAATGCTCCGCGAAAGGGCTCGATATAAGGGCAAGCAACGATTGTCAAGCCTTTGAGAGTCGCGTCCATTATTACCACGTCTTTCTTCATCGTATACTGCATCTCAAATGTGGCCTGAAGAGGCGGAAGAGAAATAAGAGTTTAAAGCACAAATAATGGGGTGCAAATCTAAGAAATGCCAATCAAAAGAAATAGTCACTCACCGTTAGTTTCAAAGAATTTGTATCTAAACTGTAAATATCTTCCACAAGAACCACTTCTGGACAACCCACTTCAACCCGCAATTCAAGGTCATATGGGTACTCTGTCGGTGGCATGGCCGTTCTTCGGTGCTCTGTTTGTGGATGGTAAGCGGGAGCAAGTTGATGGTGGAGAAGTATGACGAAAAGGAGATGCAGAATAGGCACAACACCACCAAGTTTATCAGCTTAAAGACATACAACAGCAAAAAACGTCCAATTATCATGTGTTGACTAAGACAGTAAGAATGTCATTCAGACCGTGCCTGGTATCGTAATGTTGGGATGAGTTGGGAGCAGGTGGGGGATAGTCAAAGGAAGGCAGGGGATAGATCATGGTATGTCGGAGATGTTAGATCGCAAAAAATTCCTTTACCTCAGGACCGCAAGAAGAACTCCAGAGACGAGCCGAGAAAGAATTGCATGCGTTAAATCATACGTGAGTATATAGTTTTGAAAATGTTTGAAAGGAAACTACTAAAATACATTCGAGTCAACCAAAAAGCAGGGAAAACGCTAAGTGCAACAAGTGAATGAGCAGCCGTGGAATAAAGAATGAATCAGATATGTCTTGGGAAATGGCACTGTGGGACACAACCCAGAAAATGAACAACCATCCGCAACAACGGGTGCTAGCAATTCAGAATAACGAAATGGTGTGGTTAAACAAGGGTCACGAAACAGACGCCAGGGAGAAATGCAAACCCGGATATTAAAAAAACTACTACAAAAATGTACGTCAACCAAACATTTCCTTAATACAATCAAATAAAAATTTATGGGAACAATAGCCAATGAAATATGTTTCTGGAAATGATGCTGCTGAAACTGACACGTATTGTCCATTGATAAGGGCAATAGGAAAAATGAAAAACGATAACTAAGATCGTTCACAAAAATGAATGTCAAATAGAGAGCAAATTAATAGGAGACGAGCTATTATCCCGAATAATAGTTGAACTAACGATTAATTACGGTGGAAGAATAGAGAAAAGTTCAAACAAATGCGATGCGGCAAATTAAAGTGCGGGCGGATTATAGGCAACGCTGGAAGAGATGAAATGTGTAGCGTCACGAGAAGACAACAAAAAAGACTAGATATATATCATAAATATTTGGTCACAGGTCTGAGAACAGCGTGTTTCACGCATGCCGTTTTGAATGTTTTCGTTTAAAATTGAAATATGAATGAAAATGAAGTGTAAGAACAGCAATGACGCCATCTATTTTGATTGTGAGACAAAGGCTCCAAAATCACCAATCATTTTGAGTCCCCATCACGTAGTCCCAAACTTGGAAGACGGACAGATACTGCTGATGTCATACAGGAGGTGACATTCTTAATGTTCCTTTTCCACATCATCAGTTGTTCGCCCTGGTATTTTTCCACTCACGCACAGGTCTTGTAAATAGTGCTCGGCGAGGAATTCGATTGGCTGGCATGCGTAATACGTGACTGAGTTAACTTAAACGGTGTTCAAGAATAATGCCCTGGAAGCTAGGATTATTCACACCGAGTACTCGACTTCTAACCTCTGAGTTGCTTACATGGTGTTGTCACCACACAGGAGGGATCGTCCCCAAGCAGCGGCTGTCGAAAAATGATAGTCGTTTCAGAGCTTAAGCGCGAAAAAGGAGGTCTCGCAGCCGTACAGCAGGGTCGCACGAACAGTGGCACTGTACGTCCTGCCTTTGAGTTATAGTCTGGTGTCTCAGCGGCGCCACAAGTGTATCGGGATACTGAACACCAGGGGTATTTGGAGATTCACTGAAGTACTTCAACTCCAACACCGCCACTCGCTGTGATATAATTCCCGGGAAAAAAGAAGCGATTAAGTTGCTCCAGGGCACCTGTGGCGTCGGCGCGACATCACTCTTTCCCTGAAGAGTAGAGTGGACAACGCAGACTTACGTTCGACCCTGTTATACGGTTGGGAAACCCAGCCCATTAAATCGGCAGACGTAAAGAGCCAAGTTACGTTCGATCACCGGTGCTTTTCGGATTACAGTGTGAGCAATGAACGTGTTGGGCGCCTTGTCTCAGACACAGTAAGACTATGTGACGCTCAAACCGTTATTTCACGCACCAGGCTCCGATGGCTGAGCCACGTGTTGCGTATGCCAGCACTCTGACTCCCGCGACATGCGTTGTTTGCGCGCCGATGGTGCGAATGGAAGAAGAGGAGGAGTGGAAAAGCAATGATTTGGTCAAGAGGAATGAAGGCCTTGATTTCAAAGTTGGCATCTGTTGGAGCCTCTCATCTCCCTGGTTGGGGTCCGAAAGACGATGAACACATTTGGTTGGATACACATGTTGATATGGCTAGGAGCGAACTCAATGGCGTTAAGGTTGGGAATTTCTTTATCCATGCCCCTCCATCCATGATCGCGTTTACTAGGCATAATGTAATCTTTTTGCAGCATAACAGTCTGGTGTTAGCTCTCCAGAATGATAACCATCCGTTACTGGTGGCTCAGCTGGCGTGCTTCTGTAGCCTAATTTTTCTTTTCCTTTGTATTGTGACACAATAAATGAGGTGTTTTCCACCTCTAGCTAATGTGCATAATGATGACAGATGACTGCAATTGTGAGTTTAAGCACAGGTACTTGACAAATTTTTAAAAAATGCCTTATACTTGGGCGGGGCAAAATACAAACCATATGCATAGGAATCAACTGTTAAGCGGTTCAAAAAGATTTGAATGGCCTGTGGATCGTCACCCAGCAAAATGACATCATCAGCATAATCCACGTTAACAACACTGTCTCCGGGAAAGAGCTCAACGTCGTAGTTCTGGGCTCCTTCCAGTGCACGGTGGAGAACATACCCGATGGCGCAGTTGAATAAGTACGGTGAAATAGGGAAACCATAGTGTACCCCCCAGCTAACAGCAAACGACGAAGAAAGCATTCCATAAGCTTTGCCCAATGTGTGACGATAGAGTTCTTTCATGACTGCGGCAAATTCGTTGAGTACACCGCTCCTTAGCAGATAGTCCCAAATACATGTTCTATTTAGGAAGTAAAAGGTGGCACAGATGTCCAAAAACACCACCATTGTTGATATTCGGCTGTTCAGCCGTAGCCGAGCTGTAGGCTACCGGGCACGTCCTTAGGTTGCAGATTGGGGGATGTCTTATTTGCGAATTAGTTGTGAATAAATCTCACATGCTACGCATTGATATAAATAAAGTCGTGGAAAATTAAGCAACCGTGCTGGATGGCGTGCTGGGTATTCGACTGACAAGCGTTCTCCCTATAGAAAGCCGCAGTGGTCGCATGAAAGCATTGTAACGTGGCGGAGGTGACTCGTCACTAAATGAATTCATTGCGGAGGGGGCGGTTGTGCCCCTGGCACGGTGCATGAACCGAACGATCAGTCACCGATTCTCGAGGGGTGCAAGTCCATCACTTTGCCCCATTACATTGTGGGTTAGGCCTTTTGGCCGAAGGCTTGGGACGGCGAGCCCCTAAGAAAAGCCTCTACTTCGGTGTAAGCAGACGGAAAGTATTTTGCCTAATAAAGAACCATGGAACTGAAGTAAACTACACTGACTCGTTCTGAAAATGGTTTGCTCTCCTGTTATTATTCCTTTCCAACTACACGCCACTGCTTATCTACAACCCCCGCTACCGTCTAACGCCCCATCGAGGCACAGCATCGGGCTCTCTGATGAATCTGTCGCTATACCAAGCATGCAGCACCAAACCGGGAGGTGACCACCCTAAGCTCTCTCCTCTCCGCTTTTTCGGCCCAAAACACAGTTCAATTTTGGAGCGTTCAATGTATAGATTTGATAATAAGCCGGTCTCGCACGCACCCTGGAGTCTCTTGCAATAGATTTCTGTTGTTTATCTAAAACGCGACTTCAGGATCCCACCACGGTTTACCAACTGTCTTTACCCATTCACGCGTTTCCTTCTTCGCATTTCTGGCGACGTCGAGTTCCCTGAAACTGAGCAAGCTAGTGTTGGGTTTTCCAGAGCCAAAGCAACCCTTCTTGTATGCATTCCCATCAAAGGTCGCCTCTGCGCTATGCCGTTCGAAGGCTTGTCCAAAGCTAACGGGCGTCGAGAAGACAGACGCGCTCTTGTTGTTATCTCCGCCCATGAGACCAGTGACTGTAGCCCGGATCCAGTCAAGGAACGATTCTATCAAAACTATATAACCTATTGCTAATAGCCCACAAAATGAACACTATTGTTATGGCGGTGGCTTTCAACGCGCGTGTTGATCGTTTACTGCCAAGGGAAGGACATCTGAGAGGCCCGCATGGGGACGACAACGTTCGACCACCAACTTTTACCAATCCAACCTGAACCTTCGCCACCCGAGAGGCCACTACGCTATTTGGCGTGCTCCATCATCGTCGCAATACAGGTCCCAGATCGACCATATCGCCATAAGTCGCCGGTGGCGAGGCAGTGTTTGAGACTACAAAACTTATTGGTCAATTTGCATTGAATCTGATCATGCGCTGGTACGTGCGATGATATGCATGCGCTTCGATAGCTCACCTAGTATTAAGCAAAAGAGTCTGTATACTGATAAATTGGAAGACCCCGCTGTTCAGGTGGAATACCAGCGGAGGCTCAATGACAATTTCACTTTTCCCCTTCCTCTGGACGTTAACCAGCATTGACAACGTATACAACAAATCAAGTTTTCTGTGGGTTTTTCTACCTGTGGTCTTGTTCTTACAACAGCTAAAAGTTGGATCTCGGAGATATGGTCAGAACTACTTGATCGTCGATGGTCATACATTAATTAGCTTTTATGAAAAGCAACACGTACTAAATCTATCGTGCAATGAAGAATTTAGGCAAGGATGCAGAAAAGACGTGAAGAAATAGGCATCGCAATGGGCGTCGCATAACTACTGCAGCCGGGGGATAATAACCTTATTAAAAAGCAGTGAAGCGAGAATACAAAAATAGGAACACAGTGCGGAGAGGAGCAAAAAGGTAGGAGAAAATTCGGCGAAAAGTAGTGGGACCAAGGGACAGAGATTGGTGATAGTACCGGTTGGAGGACGAAATCGGTGGTTAAAATACGTAGCAAAACCATGCTACTGAAGAAGAATCAGTAGGATG